TTGAAAAGTCATCAGGTACTTCTGCTAAATTTCTATTCCAACTGCTCCCATGAATATGTTTTCGAAAAAAATCAGGTGTTAACATGTTACGAAACTTTGAAAATTCAGATTGAAATGAGCACTCCTCGATATGGCGTCCGTCGTGTACACTCCACACTTTCCCCCTGAAACTTCAAATCCCGCAAAATCTCGCGTTCCCACGGATAATTTAGCGGAAGTCACGTGACCGTGGAAAAGACTCTATTATATACATATAACTATAAAAGCACTCTGAGAGCTCAGACCTCAGCGATTTTTTATTACTGATTATTGATTTATTATTGTTCCGGATCACCACCAAAAACCAATCATTTCTAAGTTGACCCATTTCCAACCTACCCTGAAAATTTCATCAAAAGCGCTCCATAACTTTTTGGGTTATGTTGATGACAAACAAACACAGACAGACAGGGGTGAAAACATAACCTCCTTGGCAGAGGTAATAAATTGTGTCCACATTTGAACTAGGTAAATAGACTAAGAGGCAGAGAAACGGAGAATGCTATTACACTTAGCTAGCAGTGAAGATATTGAAAAATATTCTTCATTCTGGCTTGTCTTCAAATCTTGACCTGGAGTGCCTTCTTTTGCTAGAAAATATTCTAGTGTTTGTACAATATGTATGATGTATAGACTATAGTTGTTCTTAAAATAATTGTATGTGGGAAGGAAGAAATGTTACCAATTGCTGCATTGTTGCTGTTGAGGTTCTTTGAACATTAAACTGCTCATCATCTGTTTGTTTGCGTAAATTTCTCTCTTTAAAGCCACACAGTGCAGGTGAGGGTTTAACCCGCTGAAATAAAAAGAAATCTTGGAAGTTCTGTATTATTTTTCTTTGATTCATTTGGGAAACCAAAAGGTGATGGGGGCAACCAAAAAAATTTAAATGGTTGTCAGATGGGACAACCACTTTAAAAAGCTTACTTTACAGACTGCACCAGTGTTGTGCTTGACAAGTTCTATTAAATGCAGTAAACTCAAAATATGCAAAAAGAAAGGAAAAAGCAGCACATCTGTAAAAAATGGTCCGATGACGCTGAATTAAGAATTGACCTGTATTTTTGTAACATTGATCACTCCTGTGATTTTCTAGACAAAAGGCCTAGCGGTTTTCCTTGAAATGTGTTATCAGTGTTGCATATATGCTGAAAAAAGAGAAAAACCAAGGGCAAAACTGGGTATATTTTAAGATATGAGGGGCAGTTTTGAAGATATGAAGGGCAGAAAATATGCAAAGTGCAGTTCACCATTTGTAACAGTGATGGATATCATTAACATGCATACAAAGATTTCTGAACAAATCCCAACATTGAGAGATATGAATACCAACTTCCGTATAAGATTCCTCAAACTGAAACTTGGTCTTATCTCACTGATATGTCTACCACACTACATAATCCATGAACTTACAGAATTAAAACTTAGTTAAGTACATCTAAAAATTGCCAAAGGAAAAAATTAATTGTCAGTGTATAGATCACTGCTGACATAGTTCACAATTCGTTACACCAATAAATTATAGTACAGGCCACTGTACTTGTAATGTTACATCTGTTGTCTGATCAAATAACTTATAGGTTTTTGAACAGAGCATTTACTTACAAAATGTGAACACTTTACTTTCATAATAATATTTTCACTATTTGCACTTTAATCAAAATTCTTAAACCCGTCTTGCTATTAAGCTTTCTAGTTCCCATTCTCACATATGATGCAGGTCTGGTTTCACAAAATAACATAACTTTCACTGTGTAATTACAGTGTCTATGCAAGTTCACACTAGTATCAATAATATTTGTAGCTCATAACTCGATTTCTGCAGATAAAATGTCAAGTAGCACTAAGCACATATCAATTATACATTCTACTACATAAAATGAAAATAAACACACACACACAAGAAGGTGTAAATTCGAAATCTGCAACTTTTGACATTCACAGATCGTAAGTGAACAGGGGGTGGGGGTGGGGGAGAGAAGGCTCTGACAAACCTTGCCCGAATTTTCAACAACTTGCAAGTTCAGTCACAACTAGGAACCCAGGCTTGTCACAGGTGGGAAACTCTGTCTGTGAGTAAATGATGGTGGTGGTACAGCATTCTTCTCCTCTGTATCAGTGACATTAGAGATGGGTGTCTAGGAGTAATTGTCATGTCTATCTATATTCAGCCTCCCTTCAACCAGCTGTAAAAAGAGTAAGAACATGTTTATATGAGTTATTCTGAGAAAAATCAGCTTTACATGAGAGAGACAGAGAGTCAATCATAATACATCTGAAATAATACATGGTTATAAAGTTTAATAATTATCAACACATGCTATTACAGAAAACAAAGAAATCAAATGTCTTTAACATTTCATTTTAAAAGTAATTCTTCTCTGTTGAAAAAATATCATCAGAATTTGATTAGATATGTCTGAGAAAGTTTGATAGGAAATGGCCCCATTCAGAATGGATGATCCAAGTACTTACTGATTCCTGGGGAGACCATCAGGAATCAGGGGCATCCCTTTCGGTCTGTGGTCAACCATATTTAGTCAGCCGATCAAAAAATACTTAGATCATCCATTCTGAATGGCCTCAGTGACAGATAATAGACAGTATGCATCATAACCAGAAAAGTGAACAGTGTACATATGGGTTTTATTTTCACTTCACTTCAATTAAGGTTTTGTTTTGAAACAGTTTCGCTTATTATTTTAATCACAGATACAGGTAGAACTGTCGAGAGAAGAGAAGAGAGGGGGGATTACAGATAGATGTAGAGAATTCATGAGAATGAAATCAATTATATCCTTTAACTTTTTAATGAATATAAACAGAGGTCAAAAAGGTTAGACCAATGTGCCTGGAGCCTTTTATAAACAATTTGATGATGACAAAGTTATATATCCTGTCAGCCAAATTCAGACAGGATGTACACAGCTTGTGGCAGTAAACTTCAATAACTAGCTGCTGATGGTCTGAATCTGATAAATATACATACAGATACCTGTAAAAAAGAAGGCATGGGCATGCTTTCGATCTGAATGAAAGTATAAAACTGCACAGCTCAGTATTTTACAGTATGACAAGCAGAAAGTAGTCTGCCAAATCCTCCATGTAATACTCTGGCAGTATAAGAAATAACATTGGCACATCTTGAGGAAGGGGCAACGAGATCCTAAAACATATTTGTTTTTATTCACCAACAGAAATTGGTAAAATTGAGTCTTTTTAAAAGACTGGATTACAATTAAAAGTCTTAAAAAAAAACAAAATTTAATGTTTTTAAGACATTTTCATTGTAACTAGATAAGTTTACAAAGTAAACATGCGAACTGACGTTGTCAAACAGAGAGAGAGGTTGTGAAAGTTCAGAGGAAAGGCATACAAGTGAACACACGCACACACACACGCACATAGACATACCTTGCTTAGAACAAATCAGCCTGAAGTAGATATTGCATAAGAGCCTCACAGAACTGTAGCATGCTGACTAACAACAATTTTGGGAAACTGCGACATCTCAGTGCACATCTTGCCTTGCTGCAGTATCTGGAAATTAATGTTGTGTAAAATTCTAACATGTAATGGCAATGTCCCACTATAAACAAAACTGATTTCATTACCATTCATTACCATTAAATCAAAATTCTACATGCACTACCTGTAAACTACTGGAGAAAGCATATTTTTGTACCTAAAAAAATGAGCAATTTAATTGAAAAAAATTAATATGTATGAATTATAAATTTGTAAGCAAATGTCAAAAAAATAATTTATTAAGCTATTACCATAAAATGACATCAAGGCTCTACAATGTTTTTACTTGTTCTTAAGGTTTCCATCATTTTAATAAATCTCTTTTCATATTGTCCACTATCGGCAGCCGTTTCCATTGCACCTCCTTGTTTTCCATCGTCTTCATCATGAGTGTGAACAGAAAGACGGTGAGAGTGAAGAGTGACGAAATAACATTCTATCAGGAACTTGGCATCCTGCCAGATGTGTGATGTGTCCTTGTCTGAAATATATATGTATTTTANAACATTTCCATTAATGGAGTGAACCATGCTTGTGTCAACCAAAAAGGTATCACAACTAAAGCATCTGCCTGATCTTCCCGAATCTTCTTGATTATCCTGGGAATCAGGCTGAAAGGAGGAAAAATGTATGAATACATATTCTCCCAAGATATTGAAAAAGCATTAATGTATTTAGCACCAGGTTCTGGTTTCCAAGAAGCAAATACTTCTAATTTGCTATTCAATCTTGATGCAAATAGATCTATACATGGCATACCAAATATATCTGTCACTTTTTTAAATATATCAATATTTAGTGACCATTCAGTTCTAATATTCACATTTCTTGATTCCCAATCTGCCTCTACATTTAATATTCCAGGCAAATATTCAGCAGTAAGCCATATGTCATTTTCAATGCATTTATTCCATATGTCTGATACTATTTCATCACAAACTGGGGATTTCAAACCTCCCATATGTGTAATGTATGCAACTGCTGTAGTATTATCAGATCTCAATAAAACTACCTTTCCTTTGATTTCTTGAATAAAGGCATGTAAAGCCATTTTTATAGCAAGCAATTCAAATGCATTGATATTATCATGACAGAATAAAATTTCTTCTTCAGTAAAGAATCCACCAATTCTTGTATCTCTACATTTAGCTCCCCATGCTAAAGGAGTAGCATCTGATTGAATTTCAATCTGTGCATTGCCATGATAAATTTTATTTGTTGCAAACAATATATTTCTAGACCACCAGTCTAGATCTACTTTCATGTCATCTGTAATATCCATTACAGCTTCATAATCATCTTTATTTTGTTTCAATGCATTAATTTTTGCTCTCTCTAGTTTCCTATAATGCAATGGCCCGTATTGGACTCCAGGCAAACATGATATTAATATTCCTAATATTTTTGCAATTTCTCTAATAGATGCATCATCTCTTCTGATTGAATCATCAATCATTTCTTTATAAACTTGTTTCTTTTCATTGGTCAGTTGCACAGTCATATTTTTAGAGTTTATTTTAAATCCCAAAAATACAATTTCTTGAGTTGGGATTAATGCTGACTTTTCTTCATGGATCAAAAATCCACAAGTTTTGAATAACTTAACAGTTTCTTGTACTGCCCATAGACATTCATTTTCTGAACTAGCTTGTATATAAATGTCATCTATATAAGATATCATAATAATCCCTTTCCTTCTTAAGGATGCACATAATGGCTTTAATAATTTTGTGAATGCTCTTGGAGCATCTGAATAGCCATTTGGAAGGGCAGTATACATATATAATTTATTTCTCCATTGAAATTTGAGAAACTTCTGATGCTCTTTGTAAATTCTAACCATATAATATGCATCTCGTAAATCTATGCGTGCCATGTATGCTTTATGACACAATAAATTCAAGACTGTCTTTAAAGTATCCATTTTAAACTTATGGTACTTCATAAATTTGTTGAAAGGTTTAAGATTTAATATCATTCTTCTTGTGCCATCTTTTTTAGGCCTAGTAAATATTGTATTGACAAATTGTCCTTCTTCATTTTGTGTTTCAACAATGACACCTTTACATAATAATCTTGAAACTTCAATATCAATCAATTTTCCTTCAGATTCTGTGAATCTTATTTCTCTTAATGGTGTCGTCTGTTTAGGATAATTATTATCCACAAATTCCAATCTTAAACCTCTAACAGTCTGTAACACCCAAGCATCAGATGTCAGCAATTCCCATTGGGAAATAAACTTTGATATTCTACCAGCAATGTTATGTTGAGGACTTACCTCAAAAATTTTCTTCAACTTTTCCACATCTAATGATGCAGAGTTGCAGGGCAGTTTTTTAAATCCTGCTGCCTGTGATAGGTCCTAATATGACCTCTACTGGTGCCACTTCTTGCACCTCTTATGCTCTTAGGAGGAAAACTTCTTCCCCTAGCTCGCATGCTGGTTCTGCTTCCTCTTTCTCTGGGAGTCCCAGAATATGATGAACCAGTGTTTTTAAACACTTGGTGATTCATTTTGTTGACATCAGACATGTCACGGATTCTTTTTACTATTTCATCCCCAAAAAGCCTATTTGTATATGGGATGGAACTTGCACACAAATGTGAATATTGCTTATCAATGTGAGGTCTTAAAGCCTCTTTCCTTTTTGTGCAAAGTTCAAAGTTTGTGCAACCAAATGCTCGAAGTGCATTCGTAGCATCATTGATTATTTCTTCAAAATCTTCTTCTTCCAAATTTTTAGTATCTGAATCCCATTTACTAATGAGTTTGTTCATTGCAACTGCCATTGAGGAAACGCCCTTTATCAAATAATTTTGCACTCTCTGAAGCTTTAAATCTTGTGTTTTAGCATCATGACTAATGCTAGGCCATATTTCCTCGTTAATAATAATTGGCTGCAAACCTTCACAGTTGGAAGGAGCTAAAATTTTCTCAAAAAGAGCTTTGGTCTCCTCTTCCATTGGTTTAGACCTCATGAATGCTGTAATGTTGTCAGCTAAGGTTGTGTTAATTTCAGGCCCTTTGGGCTCAGATTTTTTAGCTGTTTCAGTCATTTTCTTCAAGACTTTCATTTTCTTTTCTGGAAGAAGTTCTTCCTCTATGTGTCTTTTACTGGTACTGGGATTTTCATTATGGGCAGTGTCTGCCATCTCGACTACTTGGTCTGAATCCCGAGCCTCACTAAGAACTGACGTGTCGTCATAAATTGGCTCTTCATAATACTCATGAGGATATTCATACCTTATTTCNCTTTTCCTTTGATTTCTTGAATAAAGGCATGTAAAGCCATTTTTATAGCAAGCAATTCAAATGCATTGATATTATCATGACAGAACAAAATTTCTTCTTCAGTAAAGAATCCACCAATTCTTGTATCTCTACATTTAGCTCCCCATGCTAAAGGAGTAGCATCTGATTGAATTTCAATCTGTGCATTGCCATGATAAATTTTATTTGTTCATTGCAACTGCCATTGAGGAAACGCCCTTTATCAAATAATTTTGCACTCTCTGAAGCTTTAAATCTTGTGTTTTAGCATCATGACTAATGCTAGGCCATATTTCCTCGTTAATAATAATTGGCTGCAAACCTTCACAGTTGGAAGGAGCTAAAATTTTCTCAAAAAGAGCTTTGGTCTCCTCTTCCATTGGTTTAGACCTCATGAATGCTGTAATGTTGTCAGCTAAGGTTGTGTTAATTTCAGGCCCTTTGGGCTCAGATTTTTTAGCTGTTTCAGTCATTTTCTTCAAGACTTTCATTTTCTTTTCTGGAAGAAGTTCTTCCTCTATGTGTCTTTTACTGGTACTGGGATTTTCATTATGGGCAGTGTCTGCCATCTCGACTACTTGGTCTGAATCCCGAGCCTCACTAAGAACTGGCGTGTCGTCATAAATTGGCTCTTCATAATACTCATGAGGATATTCATACCTTATTTCGTTTTTAAAATCCTCCATTTGCTTTTGAAGATTATCTTGCATATTCTTCATTGTGCCAGCTATGAAGTCAAGTGCTGCACTAATTTTATGATCCACAGTCGTGGTATTATCGGCACTAGTGGACGCGCCATTTTCATTTTCCACATGAACGCTACTCTGCGTCAGAGTTTGAATTTCTGTTAGAAATTGTGGTGAGTCACCACTTTCTTTCGACTTCCCGTCGGAAGATTTCTTGTGGCCATGCGTATTTTTCTTAACTTTTGGTCTACTTTCGACCTTTTCAGCCATAATATTAGAATATTCTTGAAAATTTTTGTGCCACAATTTTTCCACGTGCCGTGCTCGCTCGACAAAAAACCGGAAGTGGAGATGTGCGCAAGTGCGCATATGCTCTCGCATAAAACGGGAATCTCGTATGACCTCATTTGTATGGAAACGAAATAGAATAATAACTATAAACGTGAGTGCTTTTTTCTACATGCAGTTTAGCTATGGCATAGCGACAAAAAAAAAAAAAAAAAAAAAAAATGAGGCAAACTTTCCTATCAAAATCCATGGCTGCTAGTAAATGAAAACTGGATGCTAATTATACAAGCAAATGGCGAGGGGTTCTCTCTTTGTTCAGGACATTTATATTTACTGATTAAGTGAAATGAAATGAAAAGTTGGTCAAAGGTCAAATTCAAGACCACATTAGGATTGCCCATATATGACTTCCCAGTTTTTTTTTGTCTTAAAAGATAAGCAGATGACAAAACGTCGAGGAAACCCTACACCCCTAACATTTCAAGTAAAGCAATAACTATTTAATAAAACCCGAGTTCATGGGTGTACGTTTAATTTTATGTAATATCCTAGAAGACATGCATATGGCAGCAACATGGCCCATCTCCCTACAACCCAGCCCAGACAAGACAATCGACACGAAGACTTAATTTTAACAGCTAGTTCGTTACAAGCACGGAAGTTATTTCCGTGAATTTTTACCTTTTCACAGCTCAGTATTTTACAGTTCTATCTCCGCTGATTTGATTCTCTACTGAATACCTCAAGTTTTCGTTGGGCACATTTCACTTCGCGCCAACCGCAAGGCCCCCTGTGACCGCTACTCTCGAATACTCTCGTTCATATCTCGTTCAGGCACCCTGAGTTTCAGCTTTCAGGGGAAACTCGCCTCCATGACACTTACGCAATTTCTACGTTTTCGGTTATATACAGTTATTATTATATTTCTGTATATATATATTATATATATTATATTTATACGTTAATGCGTGCACTTTTTTGTTCACACACGGGATTTCTCAATGGCGGCAGGTGGTTGGCCAGTTTGTCTGTGTGTGGGGGGGTGGGGGTGGGGGGAGCATGGGATCTAACGACGAAGTTCGAAATTAGGCGCTTCTGCAGTAGGCCTATTCGCACCACCACCATCACCATATAACTGTTTGATATCCAACATCTTTTTGTGTGGTGACTTTGAACAATGTTTCCGCTAATCAAATTAATCAGGTTGTCAATTTATTTATTAATTTAACGATAAAGCCTTTTTTCAAGAGACTTTATGTTATCCAAATGTTTTGAGAGCTGCGGCCATCATCGGTGTGAATATTTGCTGTGATCTCATTGATCAAAGAGCTTCACAGGTTAAATGAAAAAAAAACTTTAAAATTTAAATATAAATTATTTAAATTTATCTGATTGGTAGATATTGATCGACATTACATTAAAAATGAGAGAGTTATAGGGCGGGGTAGGGATATACTTCAATAGCACGGGGAGTGGGCGCTGAAGGGCCCTGAAAATTTTTGGTATTTTAGAGGTCGAACGGTGCCATTTGGTACGGTTTAGAACTGTGATTCAGCTAGTCAAAATTCTAATTTCAAGAGTGGACATTTGGTGTGATTTTTTTCAGAAATCGAAGGGGAGTCAGGACCCCCTGGCCCCCCCCCCCCCCCCCAACATCCGCCACTGATGTAGGCCTATGGGTGCAAGCCTGTACGTGATTTTTGCGTGTGTGACTGATAGCCCCATTGTTTTCAAACAGTGAATATGCTCAAGTAGCGCTAGCTTCTAAACTAAAGACTCTAGAACTCAATATTCAATATTGAATAGTGAGACCTACATGTAGTTCTAAATATGATAGAATAATACCTCATGATCTTGCGTATATATTGCACAGATAGAATAATTTTCTGGTTTTTATGATTATGTAGTTATGAAGGGGCTGATCCAGGACTATTTGAAGTGGGGATCCGTTTTTTTAGGAGTGACAGGCCTCGGATGCTAAGCCGACTCTCGCCCCCTCCTCCATCCCCCTTGGCGTGGGGTTCGGGCCCCGCTGAAGAGCACAGAAAAATTTTGGTATTTTAGAGGGCGAACGGTGCCATTTGCTACGGTCCAGAACTTTGATAAGCTAGTCAAAATTCTAATATCAAGAGAGGAGTATTGGTGTGATTTATTTTTCAGAAACCGAAAAGGGGGGCAGGGCCCCCCTGACATCCCCTTANCTTATATTGGGTTATCAGTGTTGCATATATGTTGAAAAAAGTGAAAAAATAGCATAACTCCCCTAAAAATGGCCCGATCATGCTGATTTTCGAACTTGACTTGCGGATTATGAATATTCATCAGTTTTGTAAGTTTCAAGCCAAAAAGTAAAATGGTTTTCCACTTATCGTGTTTTCGGTGCTGAATATATGCTGAAAAAAGTGAAAAAACAGCATAACTTCCCTACAAGTCACCCGATCATGCTGATTTTCGAACTTGACCTGCGTATTATGAATATTCATCAATTCTGTAAGTTTCAAGCTGAAATAAAAAACAGTTTTCCACTGATCGTGTTATCGGTAAAAGTGCACGACGGCGACGACGGCAACGACGGCGACGAGAGACGCAGATGATGGCTATATGTACAGACACATCTGTGTCTGTACATAATTATAATGTGAAAAAAAATTAGTATTAACCACCCTCATGGACAGCCCAACCCCCAAGTGTATTGAAAATCCTAATTTCCCCTGCACATCCCTGATGTTTGGTTGACTATCAACATTGAAATGCAATCCCTCTAATAGGCCAGTAAACGAGCATATTTTCCCCATTGAGGTTGGAAAAAATTGGTGACAAAGGTTTCTCAACTGATTCTGGTCCGTTGGAGGCCCAATATAGCCCAAAAAATTTTCCCCATGAATCCCCCCATGGCAAAGTCTGATTTTCCACAAAAATCCAAAATGGCCGCTATTGAATGGGGTGGGTGGACTTGAAATCCATAACTTGGGAACCCAATGTCACAGAGACATGTTTTAAGTATCAACTTCTACTAAGTGAGGGATCCCCAATCTTTTGCAACTAGTCTCAAGGTCACTGGAGGTCAAGGTCATGACCTTATTGCAAGGTCAAGGTATTTTTGGAGGAAAAAAATCCCATAATGTCTAAATGACAGTTTCCCAGTGTCACAGAAACATGTTTTAAGTATCAACTCCTACTAAGTGAGGGATCCCCAATCTTTTGCAACCACTTTCAAGGTCACTGGAGGTCAAGGTCATGACCTAATCATAAGATCTATACATTTTGTGAGCAAAAAAAATGACGTGATGTCCATATAATGGTAAACTAATGTCACAAAACATATTTTAGTATCCACTATTATTGAATGATGCACCGCCAATCTTTTTCAAATTTATTCAGAGCCATTTCGGGTCAAGGTCATGACCCTAATTTCAAGGACACTGCATTTTTCGAGCAGAAAATTCCCATATTATCTAAACCTTTGTAATTGGATGTCACAGAAGCATGTTTAAATATCATTTTCTTCTAAGTGAGGTTCTGAGAATAATATGCAATTGCTTTCAAGGCACCAGAGGTCAATGTTATGACCTTATTTTCAGGTCATGGCATTTTTAGCTCGAACAAAATGTCATCATGTCTACATTTAAATAACCTGGCCAATGTCACAGAAACATGTTTAAAGTATCGTATCATACTAAGTGACATATTGCCGATCATTTGAAACTATTTCTAAGATCACCAAAGGTCAGGGTCATATCCTTATAACAAGGTTGTCATAATATTTAAGAAAAATTGATTTTACACTTATCAAATACAACACATGTGATCGTTTAAAGAATATTTCATTACAAAAAAGGCATCGTTGCTACTGCATAGTACTCATTTAAATAAATGGCATTCAGTTTACAAGGCTTAAAGGTATACTGTACCCATCTCAAAATCACTAGGGCCTATGTGTTATATCTATGTTTAAATAAAGCTGTGCGTTTTACATTATACAGGAACTAAAAGTGAACTAAAAGCTTCATAACAAAATATAAATTTGTTTCATACTGGGAAGGACAGCCTGTTATACAATTACCATTGTAGCCTCACATAAGACATGTACAAAATTGGAATATTCAGAATCTATTTCCCCATTGAGGTTGGAAAAAATTGGTGACAAAGGTTTCTCAACTGATTCTGGTCCGTTGGAGGCCCAATATAGCCCAAAAAATTTTTTATCATTGTGACGGCTAGCACAAAATTCATGCGTTGTAGGCCTACTGGTTGTGCTTACGCAAAGCAGGAAAGGTCTCAAAAAGTTTTAACATTGACCACTTTATGCTTAAAAAAAATAGAAGAACCAATCCGTCCCTTCCCCTTAACGTAAAAAAGTGGCAGGAGGCTTTTAAAACACCATTCTTTTTATAGCCCGTGCTCCGACTGCCTCGGGCAGCCGTAGGGGTGTGAAGAAGGGGCCTTCCCCCAAAATATTTTGAATTATGCCATTCATGTTGTGATTTTGTAAACCAAATATTGGTCTTGACCGCCTTGTATAAATAAAATTAACAAACCTAGGCGGGACTAGTCTCTATAGAAGACAGCGTATTGAGTATTGCTCTCTACAAAAATTGCCCAGTTCTTAAGAAGACGCGTTAACTACTGTCTGCCATTAAAAGACCCAGTTCAATAACTTTTTTTTTTATATCAACCCTGTATCAATTTATGATTCCCCATCGAGTAAATTCTGAATCATTCTTACGTATATAGAGAT